CAAAACCCACAAAAGATAAAAGATAGAGTGATAATGTAAAGCAGAAAATAATATACATAGATGCATTATAAGAACGGTAGATAAATTGTGGCTGGAATGACGATGATCTTGATGAATCACTGCGAACTCATAGCTAACAAACTATATCTGATGTACATCATACATTATTAGACCTAACCTACACTCCTATACATATTTATCTGATATTCTTCTGTTACATGATGTTATCTTTTAAATGGCAAATAATGACATAGCCCATTTGATGAAAAAAAATATTTATAAAGGTATCTGTTACAATAGGTTTAAAAAAAAGTGATATAAAAAGAAAGAAAGGAGTAAGTAGCTGACCTCCTAGATAGGTCAATAAAAAACCTATTTTCTAATTGATGATAATGGAATAGCGCAACGGTTTCCGCTGGCGGGACACCAGTAGATGATAATAGCATGAGGTCAGGCCAGTTGTCCCGTTGTGACAAATTCACCAGGAATTTATCAGGATGGTTTCTAGGGGAAACCGCATAGAGATCAACCTGACATGGTGCATTGCTAACAATGAGATAATAGTCCACAATACTATCCAATTCCCTTCCCCCCAATAAATGGTGTTTAGCCCCTGTTACCTTGTCAAAAATGGTATATGTCGCGTACAAGCAGCAACAAAACGGCACACATGGGAGCGTTTTGATTGGAACGCACACCCATCCAATTTGAATACGCATCGTAACGACCAGACTTAAAATATCAACCGATCGATCTAACGTACTTTTGTTCACTCCACCAAATTTGTAATTAATAGTATATTTACCATTAAATTTAAGATAGTAAGCAAATTCTATCAACAACCCTGTAATCTGCTGAAGCTATCAAACCATCATCTATCATTCGAGCCGCAATATCATCTACCATCTGAGCATTCGATCCGCATCATCACGTACCAGTATATATACCTGTATATAAATAAATGTATACACAGATGTAATACCTAATTATAACCTAGAACAATTTACACAGTGTCATCTAGTCCCAATGTAAGCAGAACTTGTGCTATGGGTATTAAATGACTGATACAAATAAGTAAATATATATTTTTTGAAAATGCATACATACACAATATTCTCAGAAAATAACCAGACCGATACAAACAATCATACTCATGAATATAAAATGTGTGCACCGTGCGAGGAATCGACCCCGCAACCATAAGGAAGTATGGCGATGTGTTAAACCGTTAAACCACCACCACCAAAGTTATCATGCAACTATTCCGTAATTGCAAGTCACCTGCTAGTTCTGTAGTTAAATCTGTTATCCAATGTAATAAGACCGCCTTATTGTATACACACGTTTCTATTAACGTACTTAATTTTTTTTTTTATTGTAATATAAAAATAAAAATAAAAAATCTATATTCATGTAAATCTATTACAGACTCTTATTGATATATAAAATATAAAATGTAATATAAACAAATAATAGTTATATTCTATTTATATATCTAGGTTACTTGCGTATATAAATTAAGTAAGGACAGTGAGTGAGTAGTACGTATCTATTCATCATTAGGACGGTGATAATTATCATCGCGGTCATCAGTAATCACCACGTCATATAATTATTCATCATTTCCCAAACATTACGCACACAGACGCGATGCTGGAGTTCAACGTACGAGCACACAAGTGCAACGTGCGGTACAAGCGACGAGCTGTGAGCGTTATTGTAATTTTGTAAATTGTTTGTGTACATATTTTTGTTGTTTTGTGATATTTTTAACTCATTAAATAATTTATTGAACATATTATTATGTGAAAGCAAAACTTAATGATAAGATATAGCATTGATTGGACTGGATTTCAGTGGAATATAAAATTGTTGTTTTTATCTGCAGATAATACATATGTGATTTTTTATTTAGCTTTGTATTTGTAATATAATTTTATTTTTTGTTTTTTTACTAGTCTATTGCACCGATTTAGATAAAATTTGACAATGAAAATATCGGTACGGTGAAGTCATATATATTATTAATTCTTAGTGATTTATTATCGAATAATAAACAAACAAACAGTAGTTATAGGTAGGAGTTTGGTATGTAATGACGCTCAGGTGGATGAATTCTAATAACATTTTGATATAATAAATTAAATGAAGGATATCCTAATTTAATTTATTTTGTAATTTTTACTTAATAAAGAATTTATTGTTATAATAGGAATATCATACAATAAAGACAAAAATTATTCTGTACAATTCTACAAAACTTTAAACTTTTTAACATGTTACTTTGGGGTCGATTAGTTAATTATTACGTGACAATAATTAATTTGGAATTCAAGTTACACGGTTATTATTTAGTTGGAGATCGCAGTGAAAGAAACAGGTTAATTACAGGTTAGTACAGAATTATTTATTGTATAAAACATGCTTTAAGCACATACTGAACCACTATTACTTCTATATAAAATCGTATTAATCAATGATATGATATATAAATGTAAATCAGACCATCAAACTTAAAATTAAATTTTGTTCAATAATTTTTGCAAGAATTGGCAATGAATATCCAGACATCCATCCTCACAAAATTTCGGCGTTTATACACGTAATGTACCTTATCTTTGAGATTTTTGGGGAAGGCCTTTGTTCAGCAGTTGATGTTTTCCGGGCTGAAATGATGATGATGATGATGTATCTTATCTAGGTACTATACTCGGATACAGGCAAAAAGTATTCTACATATTAATCTGAAATATGATCTATGAATGTAAATCAGATCATCAAATTTCAAATTAGATTTATATTCTGAGAGATTTATATTTTTTATTTATATTGCTTAGTAGCTTTTACATGAACAACAAACATACATACATCCATTCTCACAATTTTTTTTGCATGAATGAGCAACGAACATCCGTACAAACATTCGGCTTTTATAATGTTAGTATAATGATAACAAATTATTATTATTATAATGTTGTTATGATAATAATCGTTTTATTTACGCCATCTTATCTATGGTCACTCGCGCGCCGCGTGTCTGCCACTTTCTCAACGCCGGGCGCGGTGCGGGGCGCGGTGCGGGGCGCGGTGGGTAGTACGCGCTTACTCACACCGTTATTGCGTATCAACATTATTATTATTATTATTATTATAAATAAACACATTACTTTTACAATAGGTATTTAACGATGAAATGATTGACATTGCACGTTATATTTTACCTGCGACTTCGTTTATGTTACATGCAATATGTTGTTTCATCAAATAAACATTAGCTTATATGCATACTACACGTTTGCTTTGCCACACTTTAATGATGTCCCCTCGATCGATCCCCCGTCCAATTCAAACGAGAATCGAAATTACGACGGCCAGAACTGAGGTTCGAACCCCTAGCGGTGCCCTCAGACTAAAGTCGTATTCGTAAGGCGGGAGTTGGCCTTCAGTCACTTCATAAGTCCTTCTGCGGGTTTGGAGTGCCATCTGCACTCGCTCCCTATCGTCCAGTGAAGCTGTAAGGTCAGCTGCGGCCAACAGCATTAGAGTAGTCCGAAAAAAAAACTTTACTGATGGTCGATTGTGCTGCATTCGCTCGTCTACATCTAATATTTCAATAAAGTTTAATCAATATTGCATTAGCTTACGAACAGGAAGGAAAATATACAAAACTATTTTTTTTAAATAGATTCACACTATAGGACAGTGAGACGATATTGAAACACTTTCTATTTTTATTGATAACTTTAAATTTTTGAATTCGTTCCAATGTACGAACACGAAAGTAGAATGAGTGCTATTCTTTCAGTTGTCATATAGGTACCTGATGAGATTATTTTACGAAGAATTGATGAAAGTTTGTATGAAATAAATTTTTATATTCAGTTTCATGCTTTTAACAGAAACACTTACTATATATATATATATATAAAGTAAATAATAAATAAATAACCCTGGACAATTGACACAGCGCCATCAAGTCCCACGGTAAGCAGATCTTGTGTTATGGGTAGGTACTAGACAACTGATATAAATACTTAGATTTTTTTTTGTAAATACATACATAATATACAATCAATCATACTTATGTATACCAATGTTTGCACCGCGCGAGGATCGAACCCGCGACCATCGGATAAAAAGCAGCGTGCTAAACCGCTAGACCACCGAGGCTGTCAAATCATGTATGCTATCGAATATGACCAAACTTATTGAACAAAGTTTCATGTAACTTTATGTTTCTGGGGTGTTAAAAAATTAATAAAACATATTCTCAATTCTGGATTCTCGACAGGTTCTTGTCAGGTGTTCGTTGTTATTAAATTGAAATATGCTTTATTTTGGAAGTCGGTATATAACTACTTTTTATATTATTAGGTAGGTATAATTTAATCTACAACTTTATCTAAATAGCTTAAACACTCATAATAATCCTTTAGTATAATAAGCTCTCCATTTTCCTTAGGCTGTAGACTACAAAGTTGAAATTAGGCTCAGTAAACATAAACGTTAAATAATTAGAATAGTCATGTAAACAAGGTACACGTGTTTACTAAACAATATAGGTACATATGTGTATCATGCACGATTGTTATCAGAATCGTTATTCATTGAATCTGCTTATCAAACAAGAGCAGTAAGCACTAACGATTTAACACAGATAGCGTTTGATCTAGGTATATATTCTGTATCACGTATCACACGCGTGTTTACATTAATGCCTTGGAATTTAGTCGATGAAACGGAACTTAAGATGCGATTTAAATTGCAAGTAGGATGCCACCGTCATTCGTAGTGGCGAGGTCATCGACACAACAGTTCAAACACAACTGTTGAATAGTGAAGTTGGATGCAATGAGTGTTACAGTGTCACCGATTGAAGCGATGCAATAGCGAGCGGCGAGTGGCGTGGCGTGGCGTGGCGACCTTGCGTGGCGGCGCCCCTCGCGCGACGTCATGCGGGGGCGCGCCGGTGACGTCACGCCGCGACCTCGCCCGCCGTCACTCCGTGTGCACGTGAACACCACGCGCCGGCACGCGCTGCCTGCGTGATCACTGCCCCCTCATTGGCCACCTCAGCCGCGCCGCCCGCTTCTATTGGCCGCTCCCCGCCCGTGCCCCGCACCGATCCGTTCATCGTACCTCGAGTGTTCACAGCAAGGTTTATTCGCCTGCTGCTCGTCGCCTGAACCATACGGCTCTCGGGAACACAAGCGCGGAACGAAAACATAACTTTTGTGAATTAAAATAGAAAGTTTTATCCAATTGAATGTTAATAATTTAATTAAAATGTCTACACTGCTTGAAGTTTGTGGTCCTCTCTCACCACCGTCGACGCCGCCGTTAATAGAGCACAAAGTGAGTGTCTCAAAAATGTTTCCTAAAAAAAAAGAAAACAACAAATAAATAAAAAAGTATATTTTTTTTGTCCATTTAAAAAATATTATAAATATTGGCAATTTGTATTCGTACCGTTGGTGCAATCGAAAGTATGACAAGAGAGCGCGGTGCGATCACGCAGCGGTCGCGTGCTGCGCCAAGTTAGCGACCGTTCACTTATGTGCATCTGTCTTTGTCCCCCACAGGTCGACTTACCTTTGAAGAAGGCTGCAGTGAAGCGAGCCAGAGAGTCATCACCGCCGACCGGCTTGGTCACACCTCAGCCATCAGACTCTGAAAGCGAAGAAGAATGCAGCAAGAGATCCCGTTGCGAGTTAGAGCGATTGCTGCTCACTACGCCGCCGCCGGAACCCTGCAGCAGACCTTCCGTCATCATGCGCGCGCACAAAGACGGCACCTGCAGCCCCGAACCTCTGTTACCACCGCCACCCAAAGATATGAACATTCTGAAAACCCTTAAATTCAAAATGAATCGCGGACACAGTTATTCGCAAGTGAAATATATTGCCAGTCAAACTCAAAGTGCACCACCCGTGTCCGAACCCGTGAGTCCTCCGGTGAAAATCGACGAGGCCCGCGTACCATCACCCCATTTGGATTGTCAATCGAAACTGGCTAAAGATGAGCAACGCGTACCTCAAGTTCTTCCGACTATTGCTAGTGCTAGTGCCGCAGCCCCGGGATGGGTGCCGCTGGCACCGCGGCCCGCACCGGCCGTAATCGTCCCTGGAGCGCTGCTCCCGACCACCGCTCTATGGCTGGTCGCTCCAGCCCCGGCCGCAAGAAGACGTCTCTACGAGTGTTCCCATCCGGGCTGTGGCAAAAACTATTTTAAATCTTCCCACTTAAAAGCCCACGCTCGTACACACACCGGCGAGCGACCCTTCAGATGTGCTTGGCCTGGCTGCGAGCGAAGATTCTCAAGGTCCGACGAATTGTCCAGACATAAAAGAACGCATACTGGCGAGAAAAAATTCGGATGCCGCGTGTGCAATCGGCGCTTCATGCGGTCGGATCACCTCGCGAAACACGTTAAAAGACACGCCAAAGAGAGAGCGCCGCAGCAGCCCGTGTTAAGACTTCTTCCCTCACCCACCCTCGCTGTACCGGTCCCGGTACAGCCCGCGAACTAATACGCGCAACGCCCAGACTGTGATTAAGATCTCATCGATCGTTACCTAGTTGTAGTTCTACTCATCTTAAGACTGTTCTATCTGTTAGATACTTAATAGTGCTTAGTTTTAAGTCAATATGTTATTCGGCTGATGTTAAGCTTGAAGAAAAAATAATTAAAATGAAATTATTTACGTAATCTTGCTGTTTACTTTGCACAATTATTCCAATGCGGTAATCACGAAATCACTATAATTATAGCATATTGCACACCATTTTCAACACATCACATCACTCAAGAAGTTACTTTGAGAAACACGTTATGCCAAAGTGGGTTGATGAGATAGTTGGTAGATGTAAACAAAGTACTAGAGATTGAGGGCGGATCCCCGGCTCGGAAGGTCGGCGGGCGACTGTCCGTATGCCGGCACATACGCTTTGCCGTTGATAACGCAGCGCTTATCGCATTGATATCACCAGAAAACTATGTTTATTTTACAAGTTTTCTCATTACAATTATTCAATAGTCTTCTATTTTAACAAAAGTTTAATTAATGAAAGTAACATTTACGTCTCAAAAAGACGTAAATGGTAAGTCTCTTACAATTTTCCTCTTTTATAGTGAAAATCAACCGCCGGATTCAATAGTTTAGTTAGAATTATTCAATAGTTTTCTAAACCATATCAAGAAATATGTAAATCAAATAAAAGGTAAATTCTGAAAGATGTAAATGGGAAAATATCTCTTACAACTTCCCGTTTGAGTATAAAATCAAACGTTACAAAACTATGATTGTTTTGTAAATATTCTTATCAGAATTATTCAATAGTTTCCCAAAACATCTTAGAAAAATCTTTTTGCAAATTCACTACAGAAACATCAAAACCGTTACCTTACATTATGATTATTTTATACATTTAAGTTATTTATTGCATACATTAATGATAAACAGATAATATAACTTGTATACGTACATATAACGATGAATGGTAAAAAAAAACACAATCTGGCGAAACTGTTATTGCGCGCCATTAACCTGCATTATTAATAAAGTCTAAATTCAATGAGTACACTTGTACTACCTTCTCAAAGTACGATTTTAATATCAAAATTTAATCTTTGAATAAATCATTACTTGCTAATCTATTTAATATCAAAATAATTTTAAAAAGACGTCATGTTTTATTTAAATAATTTTGATACAAAATTGATTACCAAGTATCAATTTTTATAAATAAGGGGTTAAACGCTTTTAATTTCGTCGCGTGTAATTTTCGATGCAAACAAGTAAAAAAAAAACACCACACATTTTACACTTAAATCTATTTTGTTTATTGAAACTTTTTGTCCTGTCTGTATATAAAACTATAATAATAGGGTTTGTTTGGTTTAGTTTATATGGTTTTTATAGTAACATATATTATAACACGTAATATTATAATATTATATATTAAAAGACCAAATAAGCTTTCTGGATAAATTACTACTGAGAGAAAATATGTAACTGGAACCACTAGATGTCGCTGTACAAAAACAACACGTTCTCTACAACGCGATGTTAAGATTTTTTCCCGTTGAATAGGGTGAAATCGTTGGAGTCACTTCGTTACTCTGGTTTCCCTTCAAAACGCATAAATCTTTCGCCTTTTACTAAAGATTTCCGTGGAGGGGAACACTCAAATGAGTCTTACTCAATTTTTTAACAGCTCTGCTTCGGCAGAGCTTTATAGAGAATCGAAACAAATTGATAATAATCAATCGATATCAAAAATAACAGCAAACTAAAATCCCTTTATGATGAAAAGAAAAATATTTTCTTAGAAATAATATTATATTAATATATACAGAGGAAATATTTTTATGTTTAGATATTTTCTAAATAAAATCTACACTCGCGTGCGTGGCCAATGCGGGACGTTTCTGTGCAAAAGTGGGTAAGTTTGGTGATACTTTGCTGTACTTTGGGATGATCGGAATGTGAAAAACGTTCTTCCTGGGCGAAATCGTATTTCTCCTTTTTACATTAAATATTTTCTCTTCTATATTATACAGTTAACTAAATATTTTTTTTTCTATTTTACACTCAGTCGTAATCTGCGTATTGGATATAGTTAGGTCGACCGACCAGGTCCATTTAAAACCCAGGACCGCGTGGAGGTCGACATTGTCATCCATCCTCTCGTCCTCGTGGGACAATTAATGATGAATTCTCCACAATGGGCTAACTGATCTGACTTTATACTTATCTTATCGATCTACACTGGTGCCCCAGTGTCTACCGTTAATACAGGTGGGTGAACCATATTATGTATATTAATCCATAAAAAAGGGGGGAAAGGGATTGTTAGTAATGTGGACTTCTGACCCCATTGCTAGCAATGTACCATGTCAGGTTGACCTCCACGCGGTTCCCCCTGGAAACCATCATAATAAATTCTTTGTGAATTTGTCACGATGGGCTAACTGACCTGACCTCATGTTCATCTTATCATCCTCCACTGGTGCCCCGCCAGCGTGAACCATTTGCGCAGGCGGGTGCATCATTCCATTATCATCCATAAAAAAAAATAACATATTTGAGCTATCCCAGTCGATTTGTGCGGACAATAGTTCGCTCAAATTGACTATCGCAAGACTAGTCAGAACAATAAGACTTTATCAGTAGTCACGAAAACGTCAGCAGTCACGTATTGGCGGCGTGCAGGGTGCCTGAACGTGGCGTGTCCTCACAGATTGTGGCTGCAGCTGGCGTGCCTCTGACGTCACGGCGGATGACGGCCAGGAATTGGCACTGGCGCTGATGAATCTGACGACGGCGCCTAAAATGCGGTTACATTCGCCCTCCGATTTCTGTTTGGAAAACAATAAATTAATTTTGTGATTTTAGTGAAAAAAGAAATAATATTAATAAAAAATATCCCTGGACAGTTCACACAGCGTTGTCTAGTCTCAAACTAAACACAACTTCTGTTATGAGTACTAGAAAATAAAAATAAATAAATTTAGTATAACACATAGACCGTCACTAATAATATGTAATATTATATTATCTGTGCTAATAATAATCATACTCATGAATATAAATAGTTGTACAGCGCGAGGAATCGAACCCACAACCATTTGAAGTAAAGCGGTGTGCTAGACTACGGAATTCGTCAAATGTGTTAGTATTAAATATTATAATAATTTTAGTTTGTAATGGATTATTAAAAAAACATTAAGATGATTTAAAAAAAAAATCTTAAACATAAGAAGAATAAACGAAAAATATTAACAGCGAGTAAGATTGGTGGTGTACCGTGCGAGGAATCGAACCCACAACCATTTGAAGTAAAGCGGTGTGCTAGACCACTGACTCCGTCAAATGTATTTAGTATTAAAAATTATAATAATTTTAGTTCGTAATGGATTAATTAAAAAAACATTTAGCTGTTTAAAAAATATCTTTCTTAAACATAAGAAGAATAAACGGTAAATATAATCAGCGAATAAGATCGGTAGTATTTTAATAGTTCTAATAAAAATTTACATTCCATTATCTACCAAAATCACAGAATGGCTAACATACCAACCTAAATGTGTACAAAATAAAAATTAGTTATAAAAAGTAATAATATTCTTTTTATGTTGAATTTGTACTTTGTATCGTTGAAGCGAGGATTGTGCTGTGTCACTGCCTACTGGTAATTAAAATATATTTGTATAATATAATCTTATATTATAAAATTCTCGTGTCACGTTAGTTACCATACTCCGCCAAACGGTTTAACCGATTTTTATGAAATATTCTATAGCTCTTAGGCAATTTTTACTTTTCATAAGTGAAAGGGGTGGACACTCCTTATCAACCAACCCTTATCTCTTAATTTTTTGGACAAAATTTTTATTTTATTATTTAGATTTGGCTTTAAAAAAATACATACAACCCAAAATTTTTACTCTTCTACGACCAATACCTATTTTAATAGCGATATTAGTACTTAAATTTATATCGCAAAACAACATTTGCCGGGACAGCTAGATCCTATAATATTTATTACGCACATAATTCAAAATATACATAATAAATAAATAAATAAAATGTATATAAATAAAATAGGGTCGCCAATGCGCACGTGACACCCCTGGTGTTTCAGGCGTCCATAGGCTACGGTAACCATTTACCATCAGATGGGCCGTATGCTGGTTTTCCACCATAGTAGCATAAAAAAAATTATATGTAACATATTTTTGTACAATTTTAGAATAAAATATATTGGACTTTATTATTTTATACCAATTCACTGTCGATAGTGTGCGGGCGTTGAAAGAGACAGATATGATCATATAGGTACAACTAATCACGACTAACAACTATTGAAGTGGAAATTTTTGATAAAATATTTATCTATACATATGCATAATAATAAGACGGTGACCTCGAAGGTCTAGCGGGTTGGCACACCTTACCTCCGATGGTTGCGGGTTCGATTCCTCGCACGGTAGAAACATTTATATTTGTTAGTATGATTATTTATATTATGCATTTGAAGAATACTCGGTTGCTGTTGTGTTTTGGTGAAAACCGGTATTCACCGGTTATAATTTTTTTTGTAACATTTACATTTGGGTTCTGTACTATATATATTACTATATATTATATATACATAGTATCTTACACACATGAAAAATAGAATAAATAATATATGTTTATTTTAATTTCCGCAAAAATACATAACTTTTTAAAATGAGAAATAATAATAATTAACCCTGAAAATGTTATTATTTTTATCTTAAAAAAAAGGACATAATTTTAAAAGAGTGCAAAGGTGTATTTGTATAAAAATCTATGTTTCTTATAATTTTTCTGCATTCCGTAAGAGCTATAAAATAAAATAATGATTATCCAAATTGCAAATATTTCTTATAATGTATATTGAAATAAACTTTTAAAGCAAAATTTTTGCCATTCGGATAATAATTACACAACTGCGTCAACTAAACAACAATTTTACTAATGTAGTAATAATATTTAGTAAAATATATATTAAGGTACGTTCAAATAAATTTTCTGGACAAATTAATATGTAACTGGAACCACTAGATGTCGCTGTACAAAAACGACAAGTTCTCTACAACGCGATGTTAAGATTTTTTCTCGTTGAATAGGGTCAGATCGTTGGAGTTGTTTCATTACTCTGGTTTCCCT